AGTATATGGATTAGAAACAATATCGGGCCCAGTACAGTGCCTTGGGGCACGCCGCTGCTCGATGGATACCAGTCTGTTAGATGGTTGTCCACCTGGACTCTCCACTTCCGATCAATAAGGAAATTGCTGATCCATTTGTGCAGCGAACCACCAACACCGCACATCCTCAGTCTGTCAAGGAGCACTGCATGGTTAACCTTGTCAAAAGCCTTACTGAAGTCAATGTAAATGACGTCAACCGATTGGCCTTTGTTCAGCGCTTGTAACCATTCGTGCCTCGTCAACAGTAGGTTGGTGATGCACGAACGACCTTTCAGGAAACCATGCTGTGCGGAGGTTAACAGGTTTTTCGACTCGAGTAGCTGCAGAAGGCTCTTTTTCACAATCTTCTCGAGTGTCTTTGCCAAAACTGCCGTCAGGCAGATCGGCCGGTAGTTATCCACTTTGCTTGGGTTACCACCTTTCGGGATAGGCTTTACGACTGAGCATTTCCAGTCGTCCGGTAGTTGACCAGTGGATAGTGACCTGTTAAACAGTTCAGTTACAGAAGGTGCAATTATGGTCGATAATGACTTGAGGATTAGTGGGTGTATACCATCTGGCCCAGCAGGTTTCGTCCCGTCAAGATTAGCTAGAATCTTGCGTACATCCTCAATATTGCAGTCCAGGCTGTTAAGTTCGGCTGGAGCGGTGCTCGTCGAACTCATTACAGACACTTGATCACTTGCAAATACGGAGGCGAAGTGCGTTGCCAATGCTGACGCACGATCTGTACTCGAGGTTAGAGGCTGTCCTTCTGAGCCTTCTAACACTGGGATATTAGCTATAGGCCTTAGGCGCCGCTTCACATATGCGAAGATCCTCTTGGGAGCCGTTTTTGCGGCAGTTGCAAGCTCCTCTTCGAAGCTTCTGCGTTTTCTTGTTTTCGCGTTGTTGCAGCGATTTCGCTGGACCTTGTAGGCATTGTAGTCCTCATCAGAGCCAGATAACACGAATTTGATGATGATGATGATGATGATGATGATGATGATGATGATGATGATGATGATGATGATGATGATGATGATGATGATGATGATGATGATGATGATGATGATGATGATGATGATGATGATGATGATGATGATGATGATGATGATGATGATGATGATGATGATGATGATGATGATGATGATGATGATGATGATGATGATGATGATGATGATGATGATGATGATGATGATGATGATGATGATGATGATGATGATGATGATGATGATGATGATGATGATGATGATGATGATGATGATGATGATGATGATGATGATGATGATGATGATGATGATGATGATGATGATGATGATGATGATGATGAGATGATGATGATGATGATGATGATGATGATGATGATGATGATGATGATGATGATGATGATGATGATGATGATGATGATGATGATGATGATGATGATGATGATGATGATGATGATGATGATGATGATGATGATGATGATGATGATGATGATGATGATGATGATGATGATGATGATGATGATGATGATGATGATGATGATGATGATGATGATGATGATGATGATGATGATGATGATGATGATGATGATGATGATGATGATGATGATGATGATGATGATGATGATGATGATGATGATGATGATGATGATGATGATGATGATGATGATGATGATGATGATGATGATGATGATGATGATGATGATGATGATGATGATGATGATGATGATGATGATGATGATGATGATGATGATGATGATGATGATGATGATGATGATGATGATGATGATGATGATGATGATGATGATGATGATGATGATGATGATGATGATGATGATGATGATGATGATGATGATGATGATGATGATGATGATGATGATGATGATGATGATGATGATGATGATGATGATGATGATGATGATGATGATGATGATGATGATGATGATGATGATGATGATGATGATGATGATGATGATGATGATGATGATGATGATGATGATGATGATGATGATGATGATGATGATGATGATGATGATGATGATGATGATGATGATGATGATGATGATGATGATGATGATGATGATGATGATGATGATGATGATGATGATGATGATGATGATGATGATGATGATGATGATGATGATGATGATGATGATGATGATGATGATGATGATGATGATGATGATGATGATGATGATGATGATGATGATGATGATGATGATGATGATGATGATGATGATGATGATGATGATGATGATGATGATGATGATGATGATGATGATGATGATGATGATGATGATGATGATGATGATGATGATGATGATGATGATGATGATGATGATGATGATGATGATGATGATGATGATGATGATGATGATGATGATGATGATGATGATGATGATGATGATGATGATGATGATGATGATGATGATGATGATGATGATGATGATGATGATGATGATGATGATGATGATGATGATGATGATGATGATGATGATGATGATGATGATGATGATGATGATGATGATGATGATGATGATGATGATGATGATGATGATGATGATGATGATGATGATGATGATGATGATGATGATGATGATGATGATGATGATGATGATGATGATGATGATGATGATGATGATGATGATGATGATGATGATGATGATGATGATGATGATGATGATGATGATGATGATGATGATGATGATGATGATGATGATGATGATGATGATGATGATGATGATGATGATGATGATGATGATGATGATGATGATGATGATGATGATGATGATGATGATGATGATGATGATGATGATGATGATGATGATGATGATGATGATGATGATGATGATGATGATGATGATGATGATGATGATGATGATGATGATGATGATGATGATGATGATGATGATGATGATGATGATGATGATGATGATGATGATGATGATGATGATGATGATGATGATGATGATGATGATGATGATGATGATGATGATGATGATGATGATGATGATGATGATGATGATGATGATGATGATGATGATGATGATGATGATGATGATGATGATGATGATGATGATGATGATGATGATGATGATGATGATGATGATGATGATGATGATGATGATGATGATGATGATGATGATGATGATGATGATGATGATGATGATGATGATGATGATGATGATGATGATGATGATGATGATGATGATGATGATGATGATGATGATGAAAGCATTGGTCACCAATGTCTTGTTCATCACCCGCAATACAACTGGACTAATTCTTAGAGCCACTCGACCCCGAGGTGCACTCGTTTCGTTGACCACTGCTCTTGGTGAGGTCAGTTGCTTCAACTTAGCTTCGTGTATCATAGGGTGGTGTTTCAACCGGTAAGCCTTGACTTCGCCAGTGTATCGGGATCTGCAATTTACAGACGTGTTGTTGGCTTTGAGACACAATTTGCATAAACCTTTCCCTGAAACCGCGTGCAAGTGCTCAGTACTGCCCATAGTTTGGAATCGAGGACATTTATCGAGGTACTGATGTCCTGTGCACGTTACACACGATGATGCGAGTCTCTGGGTCTGCTGTACTATTCCTCCAGTTACCAAAGCGGTTACATGATTACAACGATTTTGGAGTCTCTCTACCGTACAGGACCCTTCAGATCTTCTAGCACTTTCATTCAAGTACATAGCCTACGTTACCGCGGTTTCGACATCGCAGAAAACCTGGTGAAGGTCTCTGAAGGCTGGTTCTCCGGAAGTTCTCAGGATGCTGTTAGCTTCCTTGGACTAGTCGAGCTGCAGAGCATAAGGCAGTCGTCTCATCACCGAAGACGCCGTCACAGTCGCATTCAGGTCGGCCTCGTAGTTCAACTGTTGTAGTGTAGCCAAGCAACTTTTCCTCTGCCCAGCCAATTTATGCAGCGCTTCAGAATTGTTCGCCTTGATTGATGGTCTCTTGACTAAGTTGTCGATGTAAGCCCTGGCCATAAGATGAGGTAGGCCGAATCTTGATTTTAGGGTCTCCATGGCATCACGAAAACATTCTTCTGGTTCCAATGTAACACAACTTTCGACCGCCTCCTGAGCCTGGCCTTCACAATAATTAATCAGGTAGGAGTGCCTGATCCCAGGCTTATAGGCAACACCCCTGACATTTACTTGCAAACTGCGCATAAATAGCTAGTACTGCATCGGATCACCGGTAAAGTGGCCAATCTCCCTCTTCGGCAAGCCAGCGAGCGCTTCCAGTGCACCCGAGGCGTTTTCAGGGAAAGTTTCGGGCGGGACTCGATCCCGGGAAAACCGCGTGGTTGATAAGCATGTATCCGCGCACGCTACAGTGCGCTGCACATAGCCTATTGCAATGTAGTCTTCACCAAGAACAGCAAGCGGCGAAAATTCCGGCGTCTCCCGTAGAACAATTTTGGATTGACCATTTAGCTTAACGACTCCTGAGGATACCTTTACTGCATCCTTGGAGGTAAAAGCTTTCAAACGAATTTCTAGTTCTGTAATTATAAGCAATGCCGCGGACACTTGATCACGGTGGACATACGTGTACTAGCGTCTGCGTCCTGCGAACGCGGTGACAACAATCGCATTCCAGATTTGTCCTTCTGAGAGCCCGTCAGAACTATTCAGCTTGTGTAACTGTAGAAATGGTTGTTAAAACGCGAGCTGACGACATGGTCTGAGCTGTGAGAATGATGGGCGGTGGGCAGAATAAAGTGTACTGAAGCAACTGTAGTTCCGCATAAATTATAATGAAGTAAATAGCAACGTCTAACTTACGAACCGGTGAACGGACACGTAATTAGGTACAGATCTAATTCCACGTGATCAGTTAGGGCGGTCCGCGTTCATTCTCGGACGTAATAAGTAGTGCATCAAAACAAAGTGTTCGGATGTCTGAGCATTGCACATCGTTGTCAGTAAATAATGAAAGGTTACATAATAAAGACAGAGGTAAACGTAACATAAGCAATACATTTAATTCAGCTTCTGAATGTGATCAATGGTAGTAACCAGTCTAGTCATCAAGGTTAAAATTGTGCCTAACAATGTGCTACTTGTAAACAGAGAGTAGTTAGGTTAGACAACCGGCTCAGGATTGCATAATATCGGTTGGGTCGCTGAGTTAGGAGTAGCAGGGAGAGTTGAATTCGTCACATCTAGACTAACTCAGCTACACGCTCAGAAAGAGAATGTGCGCGTGTCTTATCCTTTCGAGAATCTTCACCGATGCGTATTTTCACCGGACCGCGGTAGGGATCGAACCCGCAACTTGACGGTTGCCAGTCCGCGGTTGAGATCACTGAGCAACGGGGGACGGTCATTACCATCGTGAATAAGTTACTAAATGTGATATAGCGCCGCTCACTATCCACTGACTTTCACGTTACTACCGTGCAGAGGACAGGGTAGCCCCTCACCAAGCGCCCAACTTACCAAACTTAAGCCGCCAATTAACCTAGGGCATTATAGACAGTTTGGTCAGGGTACTGATTACAGAGGAGTAGTAGGGAGAGTTGAATGGTATAGGTAGCAATTCGTCACACCTAGACTCAGCAATTAGGAATTCACACCGGCTATGACTGTCGGTGAGTCTGCCAACAATGTTGCTGCGTGTACCGATGTCCTGGCACCTGTGGTAAGGGGCCGCACCAATGAGCAATGCGACAAACATACACAACTGAACAATGCCGGTAGCAAACTGAAGAAACAGGATAACTTAGAAATCCGTGAGAATATTTGTATCTCGGAATGCGGATGAGGGTATGCGAATGTTCTCCGAGCTGATTGCTTTGGCTGCAAACGTTTCCTCATCAAGCTGGACGACATCCTCAGTGCGATTTATGCGGGTCACTTACATATCCAACTGATTGTTGATCCTTTGATTCGAACGTCAGGAGTCGGTTGGTTCACGTAAGCGGACCGTGTAGTCAGCTCTTGAGTACTGTTGACTAGAGTCCGCCTCAATGACGTTTCTTGACCCTGTTGATCTGGGGCGGACTATTCTCTTGACCCTTACTGCTTCCTAAACCGTATCTAGATCTAAGTGTCTGTTGATTGAGTTGTTCCCCGAGTACCAAGCCTCGATGAACTCGGATAGTTTTCGACTTTTTGTCCTGCCTATGAATCTGACATTCTCTAAATCAAACTGATGCTTCTCGCCGTCCATATGTGCTGATATCAGGGAGTTCTGGTCATGTCGACGATTGGTTAGGCCATGCTCTTGTAGCATAGTGCCAAGCTTTCTTCCTGCCTGGCCCACATATTTTTGTTACAATTTTTGCAGTGGATTTTCTAAATCGCACCACTTGTCTCTTCTTTACCAAGCCGGTCCTTACCATTGAAGAGCTTGTCTCGGATAGTTTATGTCGTCATGGGAGCAACTCTGATTCCGAAAGGTAGTAGCAGTCTTGCCGCCATCTCAAGGACGCCATTGATGTATGTTAGAATGCTTATCTTTTTATTCTTTTCTGATGTTTGTTCATGCGTCGGTCGTTTTATTGATGTTAAACAACGTAGACTGAATGTCTTGCGATACCCATCAAATTTTTCGCACAGCTTGAGACAACACTGAACTCATGCAACACCACTGCTGACGCTTAACACGCGATCAAGCACAGTATCATTCCAGCACCTAGGCACAAGAGTGAAACCAACATGTTCAACACAACTGAACAAAAAGCGTTGAGAAGCCTTCGGAAAGTTAGATATTGTTAGCTTACCTGCTGATAAAGGACGTCTTACTGTTGTAATGGACAATACTCCACCCCAGATCAACAGGACGAAGGAACGTCATTGAGGCGGACTTTAGCCAACAGTAAGCAAAAGTTGACCACACAATCAGCTCTCGTGGGCCAACCGACTCCTGACGTTTGATTCAAGTGATCAACAATCAGTTGGATCTGTTAGTGGCCCGCATAAACCGCACTGCTAATGGCTTCTAGCTTGCTGAGGAAACGTTTGCAGCCAAAGCAGCCAGCTCAGAGAACATCCGCATTCCCACTTAGGGCATCTTATCACAACTCCAACTTGTTAGCTACGCTACCGTATATACATCAACCCATATTAGAGCTATAATGGTTGAAGCAAAATGCCGAATTCGCCAACGAGATTCGGTGGTGAAAAAATTTCTATCTCGTAACTAAACATCTTCACTCTATCGCTAAACATGAGCTCCTACCCACCTCAGTGAAAGCGCTCTAACCTAATTCTGAAACACAGCTACCCTCGAAACGAAATGTCAAACCATCACCCTATGAAACATTGATGCCTACAAACTCCTGCAAATAACAGTCCGGAGCAATGTTGTGCACTTTATGGCACGATGGAACTAAGCAACCAATTACGGCATGGCTTTCTTTTAAGGCGCTCCTACCTGACTTGCCAGCTACAGCTCTTTTACTGTGGTACAACCATGATTGACAGAGGAATGGCGGTAATCATAATTGAATGATTTGGCAAACACGAGGTTAACAGCAGCTCTGTAACGGAAGGAACTGACCCTGGTTTGAAAGAAGCGCGTAGCAGCCTACGGAGCTTCAACGGTTTTGTCTACCGACGTCAAGTTTACAGTACATATCAGCAGCGACGCTTCCACCCTGTCGGAGAGTTGAGCGATCGCGCCAAAGCAGCGCCTAGCTAGATCGATGTACCCCAGCATCCTTGATGCCCTGAGACAACCGATTTTCCGAACAAGCGAATAAACCGGGCTGCAACACATCTATATATCCGTCTAACTCGTACCGTATATCTTTCTCACTTAACCGTCTTGTTTTCGTTTCTCTTAGCATTCCTCTCCCGACGAAGTATTGGCACCATTACCCATCGCACAAATGTGGTCCTGCAATCAATCGTTAGGCATTATAAGTATGGCTACTGAAGTGTGTTTCATGAGCATAAAAATCAACGATACACTGAGGATGGTGTGGTGCCATTATCTTCGGCAATTCTCCGCATGCTGTGCTCACTATTTCGAACTACATCGATAATAGCGTAAGCTAACACCTCATCCGTGGCGGTAGGAGGCCGCCCAATTCGTTTGGTGTTGTACACGCTCCCACTTTTGTTAACTTTCTCCACCGGTCGACGCACGTATCTAACGGTAACGAACCTCATTTTGTAGTCGTTAGGTTTGTATCCGCGAGCCGTTTCGGCTACTTTCGCTTATCACTCCCCAAAGAGTCACAGAAGGATCACGCGCTGGTCCGCATACACGTTACGTGACTGCGGTTACGGAGCGTGCTCGTTCTCCCTTGCTAACACAGCGT